CTGCTCTTTTTTCCACCCCAAACGCCACCACTTGTTTATAGTGCAACGGCAACCTAATAGCAATAGTTAATACAAAAAAAGTATATATATAGCAGCACAGTTCAACTGTGTGTGTACCAAGAATAATTTTAGGTGTGAACAAAACACGTTTATTGTTAAGTTTTGTGTGTGTGTGTGTGTGTGTTTGTGTCTATGTGTTTGTGTGTGTGTGTGTGTGTGTGTGTGTGTGTATCCCTCTAAACTGTACATTGATGAAGGGGTATTATTTTTCTCTAGGTGCCATGTTCTCCTTTTCGGCTTCGGTGGAGGCTGTGTGTATTCTCTTGGCCGGTCTGTTGTTTAACGGCCTCTACCCCTTCACCTTGGCGACCGTGGCTGGGATGCCCTTCGTCGTCATGGCGACACTCATGCTGGTCGTCTTCATCCTCATGCAGTAAGTGCCTGGGAGTGTGTGCGCAGTGCTGCAGACACGCAAACATTATGGTGGACACAATTTACTTTGCAAGTCAAGGCTAGCTTGGTGGGAAAAAATAAGATTTATTCTCAGTCAAACAATATGTATTCTATGTGTGCTGGATTTGTCTTGAATGGAAGTACATTAGGAATACAAATGGCACTGGACAAGGTAAAAAGTGTTTTGTTTCATGTTAGTATTCGACACTGAGCCAAGATGCAAGATATATGAATAGAAAAAAAAATCTCTCACCATATTAGAATTTGTGAATCTAGTCGTTAATACATTTTTAAAAAATATATATATTATTACATTATATAATAAAAAAAGAGAGAAATCCTTCACAATGTTATTATTATTATTCAAACAAAAAAGCTCTGTATTCTCAATGTACACATATTTGATGAATGCTGCAGTAGTGTATAGAGAGGGTGTAGTACCACCACTACTCTCATTTCTCTGTAGTATTTAGAGAGGTTGTCATACCACCACTACTCTAATCTCTCTGTAGTGTATAGAGAGGGTGTAGTGCCACCACTACTCTCATCTCTCTGTAGTGTATAGAGAGGGTGTAGTACCACCACTACTCTCATCTCTCTGTAGTGTATAGAGAGGGTGTAGTGCCACCACTACTCTCATCTCTCTGTAGTGTATAGAGAGGGTGTAGTACCACCACTACTCTCATCTCTCTGTAGTGTATAGAGAGGGTGTAGTGCCACCACTACTCTCATCTCTCTGTAGTGTATAGAGAGGGTGTAGTACCACCACTACTCTCATCTCTCTGTAGTGTATAGAGAGGGTGTAGTACCACCACTACTCTCATCTCTCTGTAGTGTATAGAGAGGGTGTAGTACCACCACTACTCTCATCTCTCTGTAGTGTATAGAGAGGGTGTAGTACCACCACTACTCTCATCTCTCTGTAGTGTATAGAGAGGGTGTAGTACCACCACTACTCTCATCTCTCTGTAGTGTATAGAGAGGGTGTAGTACCACCACTACTCTCATCTCTCTGTAGTGTATAGAGAGGTTGTAGTACCACCACTACTCTAATCTCTCTATAGTGTATAGAGAGGTTGTAGTACCACCACTACTCTCAGCTCTCTGTCGTGTATAGAGAGGGTGTAGTACCACCACTACTCTCATCTCTCTACAGTGATGCTTTGTTCTTGTTCCCGTGTTTGAGCGTAAATCCGTTATTGCACATACTAGTGAGGTTTCACCTCAAACCTTTACACATCCACTTTTATAAATCTCTCTCTCATGTCCCTGGCTGCAATGATCTTTTCCTATCCCTCCTTATATCCTCAGTCTCACACTGTTTGTCTGATCACGTTTGGCAGTTTTTTTTAGTGTTTTGTATAACCTATTGATATTCAACAGTGCTTGGGTCTCAATATCCAGGCTGCTTCCATTTGGCTCTACTTGATCCAACTTTTGGAGGGCTCCAATACTGACGGGTTTAATTACCTTTGAAGTGACAAAGTGTCTAGCCGACCACAGCCCACCCTAATTCCTCTTTCAATGATTTGCCTCAAAGCTACAATACGAATGAAGGAAGAATCCAAGGCTGTGGGCTTATCTCCATTTGGCCTTTGGTCACGTCTTCATGAGAGGAAGGATTAACATATTTTAGGTTACGGGAGGCAAGGCTATGATCCATAGAATGCAGAATTCAGATTTGCGCTGTGAATGTTTAATGGAGACTTCAAATGGCTTCAATTCATACACAGGTGTGCATGCAAAATCTTGAAAACATCATGGAGAGTACTATAGTCGTGTAGTACTAGATTCCTATATTACTCTGGTACTATAGGTCTATATAGTACTAAAGTCCTATATTACTGTAGTACTATAGGTCTATATAGTGCTATAGTCCTATACCAGATATAGTGCAACAGATAAAGGGGTATGGACAGTGTTTCCCATCAGTTAACAGACAACCCTGTGAATAAATGTGTCAAAAGCTTTCCTCCCCAAACCCTTATTTTGCCTTGTCACCGCAATGTCAAAATGGCACCCGTGTCTGAAGCTTGAAGTTTACGCGTCACCATCGCAGGGGGACCGCTTGAAACCAAATGGGGTAGAAAGCAGGGGCGGACTTACCATTAGGCAAAATTAGGCGGTTGCCTAGGGCCCCAAGTTCCTGAGGGCCCCATAAAAATCCACGCGTGCGCCCCCCCACCCCCCCCCCCCCCCCCGTCAACAATCGCGCAGCTACCCCCCCTGTCAACAATCGCGCAGCACCCCCCCCCCCCCGTCAACAATCGCGCAGCAGCCCCCCCCCGTCAACAATCGCGCAGCAGCCCCCCCCGTCAACAATCGCGCAGCACCCCCGCCCCCCCCCCCCCCCCCCCGTCAACAATCGCGCAGCACCCCCCCCCCCCCCCCGCCACCCCCCCCCCCCCCCCCCCCCCCCCCCCCCCGGTCAACAATCGCGCAACACCCCCACCCCCCCCCCCCCCAGTGTCCAGGGGCCCCGGGGATTACTGATCTATGCTATGTTCGCCTTAGGCCCCCAAATTGCTAGGTCCGCCACTGGTAGAAAGGTACACTTAATGACAGCATAAAGACAGTATAAGGCTGACCTTGTGGATGAATGGAGACTTTTTAACCAAAGGATGTAAAAGGAATGAAAATGACACCAATTTACCAGTTCCACACGTAACTCATTAAAGTGTAAGGCCAATATGATTTTTTAATTAAATGATCGTCAACATAAACTAGGAAAAGTCTGCTCTCTATATAGCCTACTCTTCTTCACTAGCTGGTGCATGATGGGAAAACCAAAGTTCACATGCTTTTGACTTCCATGCACTGCATCAAATAATAACAGTTAAATACGAATATCTGTGTTATGGTAATATACAAGCATGTGCGCTTGCAATTCATAGTTCATTAAATATAGCTCACAATGACATGCATTCACAATGGTTTACCATAACACAGATATTGTATTGACATGTTAATGTTGTTATTATCAGATTTTGACAGTCAGCAAAGCAGTTCTGATTTTGGTGCAGTGCATGAAAGTCAAAGCATTGTCTTTACACTGGAGTCTACCAAAACGACAACTCCTGCCCATAGATTATACACAAAACTGCCGAACATAATTTTCGAAAAAAAGTACATCTATATACCATATATATGAGCTAATACAATATATGAGCTATATCTGGCTATTGGCTCGAAATGAACAAAATGTGTTGATGGAGAATAACATGGTAGGTTTTATTTTAGTAGCCTTTGAACTAAACAATGAGAATCATTGAGCTAGGATTTGCACAAGCAGCATGTGTGATACATTACAAAGGGATCAGGTCTCCATATGCAAAGATGGCTCGATCACGTTTCTTGCCGCACATTTTTTCAGAAGAGTAGCTTGGAATGGTAACAAAAACAGTGTAATTGTTACAGATATGCCACTCGTACACAAACTAGTTTTCCCTTGCAATCAAGAAGAATCTAAACAGTTCCGTTTTGTGGTGCTAATATATAACATCAACAGCCTTACCTGACCCTATCAACCATATCCTAGCAGTGTTGCTATGACCTGCAGGAGAATCTCACAGACATCACATCCATTAACTGCTGAGATGCACTTTCATCCATAGGCTCTTTTATCCTCCTGCAGCTCTCTTTTGAGTCTCTCTCTCTCTCTGTCTCTCCCTCTCTCTCTCTCTGTCTCTCCCTCGCTCTGTCTCTCTGTCTCTGTCTCTGTCTCTCTCTCTCTCTCTCTCTCTCTCTCAATCTGTCTTTTCCATTGTCACTTGAGGACTGATTAGCACATTGAATGACTCCCTAGTGACGGAGACAGGCAGAGGGGGATGCAGAGATAATGTGTGGAATGTGAGTGATGTAAGGAGACAAGGAATAGAGGAAAAAAAGAAACAAATTTAATTATGTTTTGCATATACAATTGGAAAGTAATCACGCAACAATAAGGGTGAAATTGTAAGGAGACACCATTTGGATTAAATCAGTGTGTTGTGTGTGTGCGTGCGTGTGTGTGAGCTAAATTGTGGGTTTGAGTGTACAGGTTTGGGTTTGAGTGAATATGTGCATGTGTGTGTGTGTGTGTGTGTGGACATGCTGCTTCTTCATGGGTAGCGAGGCATTTCTTTTGACTGGGAGCTGATGTCACCTTCAATTTGATTTCAGATTTCATTTTGTTCAGTTTTTTTTATTTTAAATGTGTGTGTGTGTGTGTGTGTGTGTGTGTGTGAAAATGAATGGCTTGGAGTGTGTAGTTTAATTTGATTTTCATTTTAATTGGTTTGAGTGCCTTATCATCAAGTTGCTGCATCAAGCACTCGCTTGATCGCTGAAGTGGCAGCGCAGGGTTCAGGTTTATGTGTGTGTACAATTTAAATAAATGCATATGGTTAATAACAGAACTTAAAACGTTGCTGTTAAACTTTGATCTGATTTTTAGGTTCCAATGTAGATTGAGCATATAGATCAATATGATATAGATATGCAATTTGGTGGATGCTTTAATCCAAAGCATTTTACAATACCATGGGTGCATACATTTATAGCATGAGTGGTCCCAGTGGGAAATGAACCACTAACCCTGGCAACGTTAATGCCATGCTCTTCCAGCTGAGGTAGTCAGGACCACTAAATACCAATACGACCCACCTCCGTGTTGATAGATTGTCGTAAAAGACAGCTAACGGACACACAGATTCACAATTCTACTCCAATTATCTAGTTTGTAGTTCATTGATGTCGGCTATTTTGAATGGTTCACTGCTAGCGCTAACGACATATCTGAGAGAGTCGTATCATTTCCCTCTCACTCAGTCTATCTTGCCTGTAGAAACACGCTAATGAATGACATGGAGAACTCCAATGTAGCAATAATAATAATAATAATACATAGAATTTCTATTGCGCCTTTCAATGACCCAAGGACGCATACAAGAGGGCGAAGAGACAAACGGGGGGGGGGGTGACAACAAGGGCAAGGGGATGGGGTGGAATACGGGGGGGGGGGGGGGGGGGGGACAGGACAGCAGTTATGGGTAGGAGAGATCGTAGGCTTGGGAGAAGAGGAAGGTTTTCAGACGGGATTTGAATGTGAGGAGTGAGGGTGAGTCGCGGACAGGTTGGGGGAGAGAGTTCCAGAGTCGGGGTGCTGTGCGGGAGAAGGCTCTGTCGCCGAAGGATTTGAGTTTAGATCTGGGTAGCAATCTTGTGTCTTTCTATCAGCGGGTTGCCAACTCGATTTTGTTATTTCAACACCACTTTGTATTTCCAGCTTTCTTATTTAGCCTCCGCCACTGCTGCAATGTTTGTACTGTCTGGCATTAGATTTAGTGACCAGACTTCCCTGTGTGTTAACAATTTACTTACAGAGTTTCTCCACAGCCTGAGGGGACAGATTTATGTCCAATCTGGCTTTAGTTAAAAAAAGATGCTCAACATGTAATGGGATCTGGGGAAATTGTTTTAAAAATCGACTTTTAGATTCAGAAAGGTTGGTTTTCTGAAATCCCAAAGCAAATCCCTTCAAACACTTAACCGCTGGCTGACACTCCCAGGAGGGTACTGGTGCTGTACTGTACTGGATGTATGGGCTGTGGAGGACAGACAATGGAACTTCATGGAAAGTGAGATGATAGGACGAGGAACCCCCCCAAAAAAATGACCAGAGATAAAGAGATATACACACTGAACATAGGAGGTATAAGATTGGTAGAGGAAAGGGAAAAAGAAGGATTGCATTTTGGAAATCTCACTGGCACTGTTAAATGTCTGAGGATGACTCTCTGTGTAACAGTCCATCCACCATCTGAGTAAACACACATACACACACACACACACACACACACACACACACACACACACACACACACCTTTCCATAAAGTGTTGGGGCGGATGGAGGCCTCTTCAAGCTTCTTTATTTAGCTCTCTGTCACTCGGTAGCGTACCACTGCGTATCACTGTGTATATGCCTTTGCTTGTGTGTGTTTGATGTGTAAATGTGTGTGCTATGAATGTGTTTTCACTGGTAGTAGGCTTGTAATTTAGTGTCTTGCTACATGGGAGTTTAAAAGCGGCTCAATGCATTGTGTATTTCAGAGCTTTTAACAGGCAGAAGAGGTTTCTTATTGTATTGCTCCGAGTAATGAAGACAGTAATGTACAGGCCAACACAATTTATTAGTTGCCAGTAGTATATGCAAATATAATTTAGATTAGATTTAGAAGTTATTTCCAAATGTCCTGCTTAATGTGACCCTCCTTAACTTAGTGCTAACATACACTACTAAAAGGACAACTAAAATACAATACATACATGTATGTATTGTGGTGAATTACATTTTTGAAAAATGCCAAAGACACATCTCTTGATTATGAAAGAGTTACTCATGATAATCCACACACCTCTGTGTTACATATGTTATTGGGAACCTTTTTTTAATCAATGCAACCAACCCACCAAGCATCCACCTCACGTGGAAGAAACAATGTCTTCTTCTCACACAATACATTTGGGTGGAGGTAAATGGTATCATGTACCGTTGGATTAAGTAATACTTTGTGTTGTTTGCTCTACTCTTTTGTTCCCTCTTTGTTCTTCATTCTCACTCCTCCTCCTCCTCCTCCTCCTCCTCCTCCCATTGTTGACGTCCCCCTCCTCTCTTTTCAGGTGGATCAGTGAGTTCCCTGCTGCACACCCTCGCCTTGTGCTGTAGGACGAAAGGACACCCTGTCTGGGATCTCCTCTTACAGTTCTAAAAATATTAAAAGTATTATTATTATTATTATTATTATTATTATAGTCATTGTTATGATAATGATAAATGATCAATCGTTTTGTGAAACTAAAAGTCTGAATTGGAACATTATATTACCCCACATAAATTGGAGGATTAAACCTGCACTGTATAACTTTTGTACTGCAGCTATTTACTCCATTAAAAAAATATCTGAACTACAAAGTGTCTCAAGAATAAAACCCACCCGTCCATAAGTCATTCATCCAGGGAATTTGTTCTGGTCTTTATTCTGGTCCACTTTCAACAGTAACTGTTGTCTGAAAAGTATATAGCCATAACTGTAGCTTCAACTCAAGCCACTGGAGGTTGCTAATGTGAAAATGTACATGCAGGTTTAAGGTATGTGAATTAAAAAAAAGAAAGAAAGAAAGAAAGAAAGAAAGAGATTTTATTTCACTCAAAATTGTTTTCTTATTTTTGTTCATATTTTAAGTATTCTCCTTGTGAAGGATGAATATTTGACAATGCCCAACCTGTGATTAAAACAGCCAACTATGGTGAGGTAAAAGCTCATAATAACTTGCTGTGAAAAACAAAATATGCCATAACAATATTCACTACTATCATATTTGTATTGTTCAATGTTGTGATCAAACCATATTTTCACTCTGTTTTATATTGTTAAAGAAAAAGTCAATGCACTATCACACACACCTATCATACATGTGACTATGGAATGCCAAATGTGCCAATATTAAATAAATAAATAATAAATAACATTAAATTAATACACAATTAATTTTTACATTTTTAACAAATACATACTTAAATAAACAAATGCAACACATTTTATTGTCTTTCCAAATGTGATTATTTATCTTTGCATTTTTTTATTTCCATGGGTATTTCAATATTTCAATATCTAATTATTTACTTCACGGTTTATTTATGACATGGTCACTGGTCCTGTGTGCACCATGAGATAAATACATGTCAACATCACCCATTAAAGCCCCTCAACATGTATGTTTAGGCGATATTGGGTTGCTACCAGTGCTATGTGTGTTTCACGTGCTGCAGATGTACACCTGCCTACATTTTACTTTAAGATTTATTGAGAAATCGTGGTGCTGTCTCTGCCAATCCAGTGGATTGTGAGTGCTGTGAATAAAGTCCTACTCTGTGAAGGGTTAAATAGTTCTGAGAACTGTATTCTGGACTTTGTGACAGGCATGCCCTTTTTACTACTAGACAGCCTCTAGTTATGATCAGTAAAGGCGGACCACCGACAATGGAGTTTGATGATACGAAGAGGTTCATTGTCGGGGTAAAGGGGAATGAAGGTGGCAGGCATGGCAGGGGGTGGAGAGGCGAGGACGGAGGGCAGAGCTGAGCTGAGCAGGATGGTGGACGAGGGAGATGAACAGGCAGGTCAGCAGATTGAACAGACAGACAGGCAGGTAGATGATTAGTGATCCTGTGGCACAGGGAGTTAGTAACAGGAGTTAGACTTGAATACACAATTCAAGGAGCCAGAGATGTGCACTAACCACTGTGGCTGAAACAACGATCTGGCCATGAGCGAGTGAAGAACCATGGCAGTTATACTGCAGAGTTGATATGAAAATGGATAGCAGGTGTGCAGCTTGGAACAGGTGAATGGGATGACTAGCAATCAATGGATGCCACACCCACCGCACAGACACAAACACACAGAGAGAGGGAGACACAAGGGAAAAGGAGACAGAAGACACAAGGGAAAGGGAGACAGACAGGAGGCACAAGGGAAAGGTTAAACACAAGAAACAAGGAATAACTGGAGGCACGACACTAGTAGTAAAAAAAAACAACCAAACACTTCATCCACAAGTCTGCTACTTTAGCCATCACCTTTATTCTCTTATTGTCCTGATGCATAGCAAAATCCAGGGTTAGGGTTAGTACAGACTAGAGATGTTAGGGTTAGTATAGAAATGTTATGGTTAGTACAGAGATGTTAGGGTTAGTACATTCTAGAGATGTTAGGGTTAGTACAGAGGTGTTAGGGTTAGTATAGAGATGTTTGGGTTAGTACAGAGATGTTAGGGTGACTAGAGATGTTAGGGTTAGTACAGAGATGTTAGGGTTATTATAGACATGTTAGGGTTAGTACAGACTAGAGATGTTAGGGTTAGCTGGGAGCGGTCTAAAATCTAAATCTTTCTAACAAATTACACTCAAAAACCAGCTCTTAAATCTTACCTACAGCACCTTTAAGGAGCTCATTCCTGACTTCAGAAGTCACCACAGTAACCTCTGACACCATCAAGCATTGACAAGGCACCAGTTGGAAGTTGTCAGTTACTTCCAATTCCAAGGATGTCTGATGACAAGCTGGCGTAGATTGCAGTCGAGTCACAAAATCTTGAGTTAGAGTCTTCAGAGTCCAAGATCGAAAATAAATAAATGTCTACATAACAAGGTTTTGAATGTTGTGTAATACACAACATTAAAAAATGACATATCTCTATTGCAGCTGAGCTTTCACAGTTTCATTTATTTTTTTACCATTTGTTAAATAATTTGGTTGATTTACACACTAATTACAAAGAAGCCTAAACGATATAGCCTAACTAAAACACATTCAATATGGTATATGTAGGCTGCCAATCACTTTTCACCCATGGATATAAAACATTCAAATCATCTTGTTTAGAAGTTCAACCCTGCAGCTCTATAACAAAAAAATGCTGATCGCATCTGAGTGCAAGTACATATTCTCATAGGAAATGGGGGTGACAGTCACACACAATGGCTTGTAAACTTTTGTCATGTCCCCGTAGAGCAGTCGTTGCCAACATGACGCCATTTTTAGGTCATTGATTTTTTTCACCATTTAAAAAATGAATTGC